AGAATCTCCCCTGTTGCCCAAAGAGAAAGAGACTCATTCCCTTCTTCCCTTCTCAGAGCATTTCCTTGAGAAACTGCGTATGTGTAAATCTTTCCTCTGTCCTTTGATATGTACGCAAATCTTTTCTGTCAGTGCTATTTTTTTTTTATTATGGTAAACTACATGTAACAGAAAATTTGCCATTGAACTATTTTTAAGCATACAATCCGATGGCATAAAGGGCATTCTTAATGGCATATAACTGTCACCCGTATCTCTTTCCAGAACGTTTTCTATCACCCTACACAGAAACTATAACCATTAAGCAATAACTCCCCATTGCCTTCTCACTCCCAGCCCTTGGTGACCACCAGTCTACATTCAGTGTCTATGTATTTGCCTCTTCTAGAAGTTTCAAAGCAGTGAGATCATACGGTATCTGTCCTTCTGTGACTGGCTTCTTTCACTTAGCATAACGTCTTCAAGGTTCATCTGTGTTATAACACATATCAGTACTCCATTCCGTTTTACAGCTGAATAATATTCCACTGCACATGTATATGACATTTTGCAAATCTTTTTGAAAGGCTAAACAAGCCGGGGCACCTGAGGGACTCAGTTGGGGCTGAGTTGGTTGGAACTCTCTCTCTCCCTTTCTCTCTCTGCCCCTCCCTGCTCACATTCCCTCTCTCTCTCTCTCTCTCTCTCTCAAGAATAAATAAATAAATAAAAATTTTTAAAGGCTAAACAAGCCTTGTGGCAGTAGTAAAATTCAGGAATATTTTCCTTAAGGGCCTGAGAAACATCTCTTTGAAATGTAAATATCAGGGAAGATAGTGTCCCTATCTCCCTGTGACTGTGGGAGTTTAGCCTAAGCGTCTTGTTCCAAGCTGTAACCACTGGCCTGTGGTAAAGATAAGAAGTTTTCATACTTCCTTGAGCCAAAGGCAATTCGCTAGCACAATGTGTACCCCAATTATCAAATGAGCTTAGGATGAACTAGGAAATATGTGACCAGGTCCTCATCCCTGAGGACAAGTTAACATTCATCTCGAAAGCATGTATGTGACGAGATACTTGGCCGTATATCAAAAGAGTGGAGTTTCTCCGTCCTCGTAATCTCATTAGCGGATTACCTGTGCTGTGCCTTAAGTCTGGTTTAATGCCTGCTCCCACTATTGAAACGACTCTTTTCTAGAATTGTGGAGAGGATTTTCTGGATTGGCAGGAGACTTTAATTTTTTCCCAATGGCGTCTTGGCCATCTTTGATCAGAACCGGGCAGGGGTGCCTGGATGGCTCAGTCAGCTAGGTGTCTGACTTCAGCTCGGGTCATGATCTCGTGGTTCGTGGGTTCGAGCCCCGTGTGGGCTCTGTGCTGTCAGCCCAGAGTCTGGAGCCTGCTCTTGATTCCGTGTCTCCCTCTCTTTCTGCCCCTCCCCTGCTCACACTCTGTCTCTCTGTCTCTCAAAAATAAATAAACATTAAAAAGATTAAAGAAGAAGAAGAAGAAGAAGAAGAAGAAGAAGAAGAAGAAGAAATGGGCAGAGGGAAGGCCTGGATGGCATCGATAAGAAAATAAGAGTTGTTCTTAAGAATGGCGTACCAGGGGCGCCTGGGTGGCGCAGTCGGTTAAGCGTCCAACTTCAGCCAGGTCACGATCTCGCGGTCCGTGGGTTCGAGCCCCGCGTCCGGCTCTGGGCTGCTGGCTCAGAGTCTGGAGCCTGTTTCCGATTCTGTGTCTCCCTCTCTCTCTGCCCCTCCCCCGTTCATGCTCTGTCTCTCTCTGTCCCAAAAATAAATAAACGTTGAAAAAAAAAAAAAAAGAATGGCGTACCAATCACCTGTGCAGCTGTGGGGTCTGCCTTCCATCTAAGGGGCTGAACACTTTGGTTACTAAAGTCTTAGGGTCATTGGGGCTGATTTTCACATTCTTGTGGCCAGAGTGAAAGCCAGGGGAACATTTAGGAGCCACACTGGAGACATGGACCTAGACTGTGGCTGAGGAAAACGGAGAGGAGACAGATTGATGACCATTAGGAGTGATCTGTTTAGAGAAGAGAATTGCTTCCTCGTTCCAAAAGAAGAAAAAGTTTTCTCGGAGAAACCGAGGCAGAAAGAACATACCCTCTGCTTGGGCGTTTGAATATGGATGGTGCTTCCCAGCACACTTAAGACATGATCCCAAGCCTCTTTGTAGGCCCTGTAGGACCTGACAGAGGCAAGTAAGTACGTGCCGAGGTTGACAGCATGGAATCTGGGTCTGCCACGTCATTCCAGTTTAGAGCTGCCCAGCTAAGCCTTTTCCCATTTCCTGATCCACAAAATCAAGGGCACATGGCTGTACTATGTTGTACTATGCTGTTTAAGTTTGGGGTTTATTTGTCCTGTGGCAATACTAACTGACATATACACACGGTTTCATTTAATAGGAAGATCTGTTGTTGTCTTTCTTTTGCCTCAAAAAGTGACGTTTACTCAGAGAAAAAAAATGACAAGAGGTCCATCCCTTGGCTGTCTTCCCTCCCCCCTCCTGCTCCTCCTCAGCGCCACATGGACTGAACCCTGGGTAGGACTGGGTAGCAGGACAGCCCCTCAGATGAGGTCAGTCACATTGAGGGGCATCTCCTCAATGGAGGTGTGTAGAAGGTCTTGATGTCCCGAAGAGTCCTCTCGCCTTAGGGAGATCTGTTGTTTCTCCCACTTTATAGATGAGGAACCCAAGGCACAGTGGGTGGAGCATGTGACTCTTGATCTCAGGGCCGCAAGTTCGAGCTCCACACTGGGTGTAGCGATTACTTGAAAAAATTGCCAATAATAAGGCCACTTAAAAAAATAGGAGATCAAGGCAAGGTCTTTAAAGAGGTAATTGAGTTAAAATGAGGTCGTTAGGATGGTCCCTAATCGAACAGGACTGGTGTCCTTCTAAGAGGAGACTAGGACACAGACACACGCACAGAGAAGACCACGTGAGGACAGAGGGAAAAGACGGCCATCCCCGAGCCATGGAGACAAGCCTCAGAAGAAGGCCACCCTGCCCACACCTTGAACTCAGACTTCTGGCCTCTAGAACCATGGAAAAATACATTTCTGTGAAGCCACTCACTCTGGGGTGCTTTGTTACAGTGCTTTAGCAAACGAATACAATCAGTAACACACTTTTGAACAAATGTATTGAGGTGAAATTCACACGACATAAAATTAAACATTTTATTTTTTTTTAAGTGAGCTCTACACCCCACGTGGGGCTCTGACTCACAACCCTGAGACCAGCCAGGCAGGTGCCCCTAAAACTAAACATTTAAAAATGAACTACTCAGTGGCAGTTAGTACATTCACAATGTTCAACCACCACCTCTATCTAGTTCCAAAATATTGGAACACTTTCTCCCCATTCCTCTATAACATACTTTCATCCAGTACTTTCCCTGTGTCGGGCACTGTTCTATGCACTTTACCTCAATGTACTCATTTAATTCTGTTGACAGTCCCAGGAGGCCAGCATTCTTATTATTATCCCCATTTTACAGATAAGAAGCTGCCCCTCAGAAAGTCTGACCTGCTTGAGCTAAATAGCTCGTTAGACAATTGCAAATAATAGACAATTATTGAGGATCGACCATGTGTAGGGTCTGGGCCACGTCACTGGGCACCCACAGGTGATCAAATGCTGTCCCGATGCTGAAGTTGCTTTTGATCTAGCAGGAAAGACAAAGGTTGGATAGTTATAAATTAATTAATGACGAGACTGAAAAATCCTGGGAAGGAATCATACCTGGGGCAGTGGGGCTGAGGTGAGGGAAGAAATGTCATCTGGAGAGGTTAAGCTAAGGCCTGGAGGAAGAGAAGGAGTAGCTCAAAGGAAGACATTCTAGCACAAAGTATATTCTAGGCAGTGGGGCCAGCATACATGTGAAGGCCAGAAGTGGAAGGAAAGAGACCAGGCTGGCTGGGGCATGGCTAGTGAGGGAGAGAATGGCTTCAGATAGGCAAGGAGAAGTAGACAGGGGTCTATCCCTTTGCAACAATGTTAGAGATTTCAGACTCATTTCTAAGGGCAGTAGGAGCTATGGATGGCTCACCATCCACTGAGAGTTAACTTTATAACTTTATTACTTCCAGGGCATTCTGATTTCCAAATTGGGGTGGGGGCTACCTTGTTGAGCCTCTAAGTACTGACAACAAATCGTTCTATGCCTGTGTGCCCCCCCCCCCCCCACTCACCCACCCAACTGGACTTCGAACTCCTGGGAGGCAAAGACAGCATCTTACTCACATCTGTATCTCCAGGGAACACAGCACAGGGCCTGGGTTAGTAATAGCAATAGTAATGGTAATAATAGGCACAGGCACCAAAAAAGAGTGCCCACCCACACCTGGGTGGCAATTCCTGCTTTGAGCGTTCAAACCCAGGCTCTACCATTTTTTGTGTCTGTGACTTTGAACCAGTGGCTCCCACCTTTATGAGCCTTATTTTCCTTATTCCTTATTATTTCCTTAATGATACTAGAATGGGTATCATTACAGTACGTAACACAGAGGGATCGAATAAGGAGAAAGAACCTGTAAAATGCTTGGCACGGTACCCTCTCAAGAATATTAAATTAGCTGTTATTACGGCATACTGGTTTAGAGCACAGTCCAGCACAAGCCAAGCGGATCTGAATTAACATCTAGGACACGGGATTCTGAGTAAGTCCGTTTATCTCCCTGAAGCTCAGTTTCCCCATCTGTAACTCAAGGCGATAAAAGTTGATAGGGTTATTGGGAAGATCTGATGAGCTCATGCACAGGAAGCGCTCCGGACACATAATCAAAAAGGGAATCTGCTTTGATCGCTGGTTCGCAGCCGCAGGGCCCACAGCACAGCTGGTTTGTAAGAACGGGTTTCCCTGGGTCAGCCGCGGCCCGCGTCGCGGGGGGGAGGCGGTGGCCACGGGTGTGGGCGGGGCGGCCTGGGGCCCGGCCCCTCGAGGCGGGTGGGCGGGGCGAAGCGGAGGACCCTGGCGCGCGCGCGCGGCGGGCCCAGGTACGCGGACAAGATGGCGGCGGCAGCGGTCGACAGCGCGATGGAGGTGGTGCCGGCGCTGGCGGAGGAGGCCGCGCCCGAGGCGGCGGGCCTCAGCTGCCTGGTCAACCTGCCCGGCGAGGTGCTGGAGTACATCCTGTGCAGCGGCTCGCTGACGGCCGCCGACATCGGCCGCGTCTCCAGCACCTGCCGGCGGCTGCGCGAGCTGTGCCAGAGTAGCGGGAAGGTGTGGAAGGAGCAGTTCCGGGTGAGGTGAGCCGGCCGCCCCGCCGCCCGCGCCCCCGCCCTGCGCCCCCTGGGCCCGGGCCGGCCAGGCCCGGGCC